AGTCCTAATACTAAAATATCGAAATGCTGTCAAAATTAACAAATTCAAGATTATGAAAGGCTCTATTAACGGGAAGTGTACGTGACACTCTATATCTTTGGAATGTGCGCTGTTTCTTTTATTTTACTTTTACTATTTTCCATTTCATACTGTTTAGAAAATAGAAAATAGTTTTGTTTAATTATGAACTAACAAAATGTCAAATAAATATTTTATTTGAAGCGAACGTTGATGTAAATAGTAAATACTATTTGCCTTTTTTATATTTACGATGCAAAATATTTATTTGGAATAGTATTTTTTACATATCCTACGTGAAATACTTATTTCAAATAGTATTTTTCGTAGATCCTTCCTTTAAATAAATATTTCTGCAGCATTTATTTCAATTTTTAGTAGCATTCTCGAGAATGATGTGACGCTTTCCAGCTTCAATTTCTACTCGTTGGTAGCTGGGGTTATTCCTAGCCCAATCCTGTCGCGATCCAGACGAAATCATCGAGCCGCAGGGAGAGAGAAGCGAGAGAGAAAGCGAAACAGATGGAGATGGGTAATGGAGCATTGCGTACGAACGTGTGTGTACCCGATTATTCAATATTGCATCCGCTTAGCTGCATCGATCCTTGTAGCTGGGCGTATTTATAGAGTTCAGCCCGAGCGATAGAATGGCACGATGTAGGTAAACAGCTACGTAAGAGAGTTAGAGAAGGACGGAGAGATTTATGCTAATGAATGTAAGCGATAGTGTAGTGGGATACACAACCAAATGCACAATCCACGAAGACGTGGTACTTCGAGTGAGAGAGAAAGAAACAAGGATGATAGAATTCAGCGAAACATCCTCTCGGATCAATAACTCGCGAGAGACGTAAACACACCCATGAGAAAGTTACCGGAAGCGGTAGCTACGAACAAGGGGCACCAATTTTCCACGTTTTTTGCTCCACACGCTTTCCAGGTACTCAAGGTGAAGTTTTATTGATCTCGTGCTCTCATTATTGCCGGGGTGACCGGTGTTGCTAAAACGACAGCTTCAGATTAACTCTGCATAATCCCGCGGATCCCTGTTGACGTACAACGTTCGTCGCATCAGCAATACAGCTTGGTTTTCTTTTACTGCCGTGATGGAACTTGTTTGGATTTTTTATTGGAAATTCATGGTAACAGCCCGGCTCGTTACTCATGTTATCGTTTACATTACATTTGTTGGTAAACGGAATCTCCCACGTAGATCCGGTGTTATTCGAGTGAATTATTAGTCGCATGAGATTGCGTCGCAAAATTGCCACAGTGTAGGTGTGTCAAAATAGTCCCTTTTATGTATTATTCCTTATTTTAACATCACTCTTTAGCTTTTTCTCTCCGAATCGAGAGACACGCCTGCACACACGTAGCTACACTGAAAAAAATTTCTGGTTGAAAATGGACCAATCAAAAATTTCTGGTTAAATAGGTTTATTAGAATTCTAATTGAGATAACCGGAATTCTGGTTGATACAATGTTTCTGGTAAAATCTATACTAGAATTCTTATTTCTACCAGAATAATTATATTTTTTTAAATCAGAATTCTAGTTATTTCAACTAGAATTCTAATAGACTTAATCAAAAAATTCTGATTCGTTTATTTTCCACCAGAATTACTATTTAATCCAACCAGACCATTTTTCTCAGTGTATAGAAATCACTAACGAGTACATTGATTTAGATGCTCTCTGTGTTTACATGACGCCATTTCAAGATAACTTTTACTTCGTTCCAACAGCTTCGTGTCACTCGTACACTAATTAAATTCTTCTATCGCGCGGACTTGTTCTTGTATTTATGCGGGAGGCAATTTGAAAAATTATACTGCCAGTTGTCATTGTCACATATTAATCTGCATCGATTGTCGCTCAGATAAAGGCTACGTTTACACCGTGCGTTTAGTCCGCGACCTATATGATAGGTGTCTTTGTTTAATTAACCTTCAGGATAAACAAGGACATCTATTATATAGGCCGCGGCCGAAATGCACGGTGTAAACGTAGCCAAAGTTTCGAGGATTTCTCACTTTCTCTTCCCCTTCCTTTCTCGCTCTCCCTCCTTTTATATACACACACGCACGCACACACGACCTTGCGCGCCTGTTGAATAGGCAACCCGTCATATTGACCCGTATATGGTGATGCAACAGATCGCAACATTATGTAGATGTACGCGCGGTATAAAAGGGCTTCGATATAACTTCGTACCTCGCCTCTAGTACCGGCTCTAGTTAATGCGGGGCTGGGTGCATAAAAATGCGGGACTGATTCTTGAAAATGAAATAATTTATTTTAAATCATAATTATTTCAAATATATAAAATAAATATAAAATAACATAAAATAAAATACACATAAAAGTTTAATGTTTTTAATAATAAAAGGTCCAACTATTCTCTATCTCGTTGTCATGTCGTTACAATAAGTAAAACGCGGGGCTGATCAAAACGCGGAGCCGCGTGCGCTGCACCGTCGCACAGTGGCCTCTATCCGATTTTTTCTGTCCGAGAAAACATATTCATCCCATCTCACATTTCAATACGACGATACACCTCACACTTGGGCAAATATTAGTCTCGATAAATATATTTCCATCGGTGGGTTTATTTAACAATAAAAATTATTATCATCCCCGATAGTGTTATTTTTCCAATGCGTCATATTCTCCAAAAAATTTTATATAGAAAATTTTGTAGGTGCTTTTTTCTTTTTTTCGGTATAAAATGTTTGTAGCAATAAAATCCGCGCATGTCGGAATTATATACATAGAACGAGGAAATATTTCATTTAACGTGGTTATAAAGTGTGGAATGTGTTGCGAGTTTAATTATAAAATTAAATTTATGTTATGATTGCGCCACTCTTGACTTTATTATGTATTATGTTTCAAAAGCGGTAAAAAGCGAGAGAAATAGAAAGGAAAAAAATTGCTATTCATTTTATGCCCCGGAATTCAGTTCCTTCAAGTGCGAGATATGTTAAAGATAATATTGACATAGAAATACATGGCTTGAAAGTCTAATAGCGTTTTTCATTGATCAGAACTAGTGCGCTCTCAATGCACATTAAAGCTATTGTACACTATTCTAATCTAAATGTATAAAAATGAGATATCTTAATCGATAAAATACCCAATGTGTATTTTATCAAATAGCACAATAAAATGTATTGAATATTTTGCGGTTTTTTTAATTCGTTTCTATATTTTTATTAAACATGCATCCTTATGTCGATTTGTGTACAACGGCTTTAAAGTGCACTGAGTGTGCACTAGTTCTGCCAATGATAAACGTTATTACAATGATAAGGAAATAGACTAAAAGAAAACTTAAAAATAAAATAAAAATAAAATAAGATCAAAATAACAGAGTCTGTAAGTGTGAGAGTGAGAGAAAGAGAGACGCAAACGGACTTTTACGATAGTTGATTAATATTGAATAAAATAAACGTATTCTGCTATTTTATCTCAATATTGCTAAATGCGTCGTGGACCGTAATTTTTCTGCGAATTCAGCAGGGCGTAGAGATAATAGAAATAGGGACACGACGTAAAAGGTCAAATGCTTGAAAATCGATGAGATTCTCCGTAGAAGGACCTTTACGCAGTGAAAATATAACGTCAACAGTTGTGCTACGCAGAATCTCATCGATTTTCAAGCATTTGATTTTTTACATCGCGTTCTCAGTTCCTATATCTCTGCGCCCTGCCGAATGTGGGTCGCGGCTAAATTATTAATTAAATATTATAATATAAATATAATATCGATGCCTGAGCCGTAGAAGGTGCTATATCGAGGAAAACATGAAGGAAGAGTTTATATAGCGCAATATTTTCTTCTCATAAATTTTACAGTGGTAGGTATGACAGAACGGGAATCGTTTTGATTTTCAATCCTATTTCTCGCACTCATTTATTCATCTATTATTTAATTTTCCGTAACTAAATTTGTGTAATTTATGAGTAGTAAATATTGCGCTATATAGACCCCTCTTTAATCTCATGCGACTTGAATCGTTCTTCTCGCTTTCTCGATATAAACCGTACTTCGTATGCGTTCCAACATAGACCGGAGATATTCACACCTCACTCGAAATAGACCGCTTTTCATTAATTTCTTGACATAAATCTTTCTTCGTGTTTTTTTTTTCCGATATAGCATCTTCTACGGCTCAGATGTCGATATAATGTAATATATATAATAATACATATATGTATATAATATATAATATAATGTAAAAATATAATATAAAAATAATAAATATTAATGTGAAGTATATGGGAGTCACAAGAGTCTTGACAATTTCGTAAAAGAAGGAAGAAGACTGGAAATTTTTTGGATGCACATCTCAATTGAGTCAGCTTCGTTAAGATTATCGAAGCAACCGAAAGTTTATACTGGAGTATTTTTTAATGACGTGTGTATCCATTCGTTCATACACACAAGTATCAAAAAAATCTATCACATAAAAATATTTATTTTTCTTCTTCCCTTCCATTTTTTTTATTTTTGACTTTTTCTTCTGCAATCTAATTAGATCGAGTCGGTAATCTAGGTTTGTCTCTCATTTATGATTAAACAAAAGACTAAGGTCAATAGTCGATTCTTAGACATATGATAGAAAGTCATCTTTTTACTTATGCATATTAATCGGCAATTTATTGTAGTTAAATAAAGTCGTCTAAAAATTAGTAGCATTTAAAAATTCAAAATGTTTTTAATTTTAAACAATCTGTAAATTGTCTAATCATTTATGTTAAAATAAATAAGATTCATTTATAGCTTAATTATAGCGCGTATATATAAAATATCTTTTAATTTTATGTATATATTATATATTGAAATTATTATTTTTAAAAAACTTAGTGCATTTGAATACAGTATATTCATTTAATATTTATTTTAAACAAGATATCAGTAGAATCATCAAATATAGATATTTATTCTATTAAAAGAGCGCAAAAATTCATTATCGCACTAATTAGAACGATACGACAAAGCACCAGCTCCATAACCCTCGTAAGCCATGTTATCAGTAAATTGTTCGGCTAAACGACGTAGATTATCATCGATGCCGTCGGCACGCTTTATCATCTGTAGTAATTGAGCTAGCAATCTACCCCTGGTAGGATGAGCATTTAAATCAATTTGTCCTAGCTTCGTCTCCAAATTATCCTGCGACAGAAAGCTCTCCAAGGTTCGGTATTCGTCCGTGTAAATATCCAACTTTGGCAAAGCCTGCAGAAGATCCTTGACATCGACGTCTCCAATCGTCATCTTTCTATTGATTTCGATTTCTTGAGTAAAATTAGTCAAGAATATTTCTAATCGACTGGCGCACTCGGTCTGTCCTTGATTGAATCTGTTATCGAATGTGGTTACCAGTTCGGCGATATTCATCGACAGGGCGCTATATGGAAGAAGACCTGAAGTTAATAAAGCCTTCAGCGTTTGCAGTGCGGCATTTATCGGTCCGCTGATGTCTTCCGAAGAAGTGAAAGCAAGTGCCTTCTGCCAGACTTCCGGCTTGACTGTTCTATCTGTAGCTACATCCATGAGGAGTCTGCGAATCCTGACGGAGTTCTCTTTTCTAGCCATTGCGAAGAGAAGCGGTGAGGCAATAATGGAATTCCTCGGAAGTTGCCAACGTTTTCGATTGTTTTTCAAAATTAGCTTACCGTAGATGCTATCTATGATGCTCGATACTTTGCTCCGATGAATCTGCTGACGTCTGAGTTGGCTGACGAAAGCTAGCAACAAATCTTTCCAGGACGCGTACTCAAAGGGAGAGAATTGCTCTATTACATCCCATACATCCGTATTGTTCTGCTGAATCATAGATAAAAACGCAATACCATCTTTTGTTTTAGATATCATCCTGTCTCGACATATCAGCAGAGTATAGTTCATCAGAGTGTTGTCCTGAAAGAAGCTAGCGAATTCGGCGGATTCTCGACACTCTGAGGGCTTCCGCAAGAATGGCAACAATATGTTGGCGGCTGTCAACGTCTCATTTTGCAAGGATAGACTTGAGACGGCGTTGGCGACTAACATATAAGGATCGAGGGATACGCTAAAGTTGGTGCTTAATTCGTGCTTGCCATGCGATTGCAAATATTCGACGAGAAGTACGACCGATTCTCTCACTTCTGCCGTCGCGTCCGGTATCCGCAGATTCGCCAACATGTACGCGATCAATTCAGAACGCGGAGGAATGACCTTGTCGTGGATTAATATTGCCATTTCGCCGACAATCTTCGGCCAGGGTCCTTCCATAGCCTTGACCGGCGCGCGGTAGGTCAAAGACGAGGTTGCTTCTTTCAGCTCTCTCATAGAAATCTTCTCCAATGGGTCCACCTTCGGCGGTTCGAAAGTGGGTTTGTAGATCTCATCGGCGTCCAGAACACTCTCCGACAGGGATCGTCGAATCAAGGATATAGCGGGGAGGAGATACTCGGGCAAGCGGTCCTCCATGGATCCAAGAATACTGTCTATCTGCTCTGCGATAGGTGCGTACGTTATAGAAGGTAAGACACCGAGGCACTCGAGCAGTGAACCGCCGTTTTTCAAATAATCCTCGATGATCTTTACGGAGTGATGCATCTCGTAACTTTGTATCTGTAAAAACCAAAAGCGAGTGCAGGAAACACAAATTTTGAGACTGCGCTGGAATGAAATATACCATATAACTTTCGCAATTATTAAAAAAATATAATAAAGACAATTAAAGTTGACATTATATTAGAAATTGTCCAGATGAATAATTATAGGATTATCAAGCTTCACAATTGGATGGAACTTATACATTTGTTAACTTGTTTCGGAAATGCAATATCACAATTCTGAACCCCTTGCAAGGTTTTTCTCGAAAAGATTCAGACCTCTTACACCTCGTTCTGTTTTTTAAAAAGTGAAACTTACCGGAAACTCGTAAAGAATTTTTCCGACATTGTGTTTCAGCCGTGTTGCCGTTTTTAATTTTAATGTCAGTTTTCTTTCCAGAAATGAAGAATATTTCCCGGCATCATCGGCCGATTTGGAGGATCTTGCCAGAAGAAATCCGAATAGGTAGATCAGTATACCACAGTGGAGCCACATTCTCCGTATCGAGAGGTGATTCGATCGTACTGTCGACGATATCTAGTTGAAAGCATATATAAAAAGTATTATTTGATATACGTGCATGATCGTAAATTACTTTTGTTAAAGCGTACGGGTGCGATAGCGCGAATTGAATTCCTATGACCGAGAATGGTATAAAGATTCGTGATTGCACATGTGGGCAGTATTAAACTGTGATCCTATCATTAATTTCCGTGGACTGCGATTTTAATATTTCTTTTCTTTCTTTTAGTCATTCTTGCTCTTATTATAAATTATTATATATAATATGTTAAAAAGGTATAATAAAACCACATGTATTAGAAAAAAATTAATTCTTATTAATGTGTGTACTTCTAAACACTTCAAATTTACAAAGCAGTAATGGTGTAAAAAGAATATGTGTGCTTACTTATAGATTATAGTTTAACTTTGCAGTTTAATTTTGTAAGTTTAAACATTTTTATACACATGTTAGACAAGTAAAACTTAAATCACTAAAATTATAATATATATTTAATATATCTACAATAGTCACGAGTAGAGTTGTCGGCAATATTTTTATATACTTTTTATAGTGTGCTTTATAATGTATAACATTAACAAAGCCTTATATTTGCTGATATAATATAAAATTATAATTATATCAAAAGCATATCAATATATACATTATAAACATATATAACATAATAAATATAAATGTATTATAATACGCGTCATAATGTGAGCTATTATTTAGTTGTTTATAAAAAAATGGATAATTATACTTATATTTATATATATATTTGAATAAATTTCAATTATGTAATATAAAGAGGAGAATAAAAGCTAAATAAGTTTTAATATTAATGCTGTAATAAATTCATTACAATAAAAGGATTGCCATCAAAAATGAAAAGTAAATCTCATAATATTAATCCTCATATATATATATATAAATATATGTAAATAACGTGGTTTGGATGGATATATACGTAAAAAGCTTGTCAACTAGCACATTTTGCATTGTGCAGCGAAAGACCGGCGTTATACATAACAAAGATCTGCTTAATTCAGATTTAAACACATCGACGTAGATAAGCCTGAGTTTTCGCCATTAGTTTTTGCTATTGAAAATGATTCTTTGCTTGTCGAGTTACATGTAAGTAATCGTATTTCTTTGGTTGTAATAGTTTTTGTCTCTGAAATAAGATGTGTAATATTTCTTGAATCTTTTTAGAATAAGGAAAGAATTTTCTCTTTCGCAGAAAAAAATTTTCTGAGGAATAAGAAGATAATCATGAAATATGTACTTTCTTATAAAAAAAAATGATACAACGAAGAAAAAATTTTGAACGTTTTATTAGATATTAAAGTTATCTTTAATATTGAAGAGTTATAATAATATCTAAGTTATTTAGATAGTTATCTTTCTATTTTTATCTTTGTTGATCTAATGAAGTATTACACATTATTAGAGAGATACAAAATATATAAATTAACTTTATGAAACTTAAATAAATTGGTAATTGAAACTTTTGTGTCTGTTTTCTCAAATATAATATATATATATAGCATTTTTGTAATCTTCCAAGTTTTTCAAACGCGGTACCTACTTTCGGGATTCGGACAAATCTGTTAATTATTAAATAGTATTTTGGTATTATATTAAATAGTCTTGGAACTAGTCGGCCCAAGGGAAAATGAACATGATACAACAAAGATTTTCCTTGTTGAACAGCTTGAATGGACTTTTGTATTGATCGTGCCAACTGTAGATGAGCAACAGGTTCCTTCTGAAATGTACCGACAGTTAAATTATTTCTATTATTATAAATAAAGTGTGCTATTGGAGAGAGTTAACCAATCAAATTTTGAACATCTTTTTAAAATTTCTTTGAGTTATGATTTAAATGGATTGAAATAAAAATCATTTCTTGATTTTTATTTCAATCTATTTAAATTATGACTCAGACAACACAACACGTATGGCACTTTCAAATCATATGGAGGAAGTTTTGGAGATGGAGATCGAATTGTGATCTCTCCCAATGTTTCATTTATTCCTTGTTTAACTATATGTATACGTGTAGTAATCAACACATGGAGTCAATCCTTGAATAATCGAGCAAGACTGCAATAGCAATGTGATCAAGATAGAAATCTTAGCCATCTCGCGGGATTCTGTTACAGACCAAATAAATACGATTTACTTATAAATATACTTAATTTTTATGAATAGATCTTAATATTTAACACAATTTCAAAGTTAAAACATCATTGATATAGATCGATAAGTTCTGTATGTACTCTCATCCTTACTTGCATTTATATCTATTTCTTTAAATTGATTGACAACTGTATTTGGACCAACAAATATCTTGTTCATATCACAATAATTAAAGCAAAATTATTTTCTTAATAATACAGATTAAATTGAATTAATAAAATCTATGTGTATTAAATGCGTTCATGCATTACAAAATATTGTATGCAAATGTTCTGTTCGATAATCCTTATTAATTATAAAATCCAATACGTCTTCTATACCGATAAGAGGAGGTCATCAAAAATAGTAATTTCGTTTTAATTAAGCTTCATTTACTTCATTTACTTTTCCATTGGCATATAAACTTCTTTTAACAATAACTACAACACTTTAGATCAATCTGTGTTCGAGGATTACATGAAGTATAGGATGATAGTGGTGAAGACGCTGTTTCTGTACATAGTAATAGCGATGGAGAAGACACTGTTGATATAGATGGAGGCAGTACACGTACAGATATAACAGACGATACTAATGGACTTTCCTTTGACTGCATAAACTGTGTAGATTGCGTAGATTGCGTAGCCTGAGATAGAGATCCTCTTGTTCTGAAATTAATTATAATTGTACACTCAATATTCATCTGTTTTCAAGATTTAAAAACAGATTCTTCTCTATATAATTTGTTATAATCGAGAAAAATATTGTACAAATTACATTGAAAGATACAAGATATTTACTTGCGTGGATTAATACGTGGAATTAAAAAACTCATGCATCCATTAGTGGCCATTGGACAGTTTTGACTCCATCATTAGAACCACTGCGGGACTTTTGTCTCATTTCACCTAGTTTTTTTGTCAGCTGATTCCTAGATTAGTTGAAAAAAACGATCCTCCAAATCCTCTCCTATACAGAATATTAAATTAAAGTTAGAGTACATACATACAGCATATGTACATAAAGAGTACATACATACAGCATATTTTATCGAAATATCAGTATCTTCTTATCGATTATCAGAATGTCTTTCAAACATTTCGAATAATACTTCTTCAGTATATTCTCATTTATAAGTATCCCTATTTACTTGTTTATTATATATACTCCTGTTTCTTTTCGAGTAACTTTTGAGATACTCGTCACAAAGCACTTTAAAGCGTTTCTCATTGATTCAAAATTTCCTGCTAAATTCAATAACAATTGGCTCCAGATGTTCGCGTTAAATCTTGAAGCTACACTCCCATCATCTTGTCGAATCTTCACTGAATAGACTGATCATTTCTTTACTCTTCGAAACTCGTTTACAGTTTCCGCGTCAAAGATGCATTTAGATTGTGCGGTAATGAGGAGCAAGGTCGCCAGACTCGCAAAGTCGATTAGTCAAGGCGACCACATATCGACTCATACTGTTCAACTTGTTCGACACGCAGAATATTTCAGATCGTAACAAGAAGAAAAAAAGGAGATATAAGTATTTTTGAAGAATCCTCTTTTCCTGAATAATATCGCGCGAGAAGAAAATTAATTGGGAAATCCGTACGTCTGATAAATTACGGCTGACTTCGCGTGTGCAGATATAAACTCAAAACTCGTCAGTAGAACTTTTTGTACAATTGTGAAAACGTAGATAATTACGGTGGGCGAGAAAAATATAAGATTTTTTTGGAGTAGTAGCATAAAAATATAATTATTTGTTTCAAATTAGAACATAGATTTTGGGTGTTTCATTCGAGTGGGCGAAAATTTAATAATATTTAATTGTAAATAAGAAACAAGTATTGGAAATTCTTTACAGGGATCAACTTGAGATGACATTGGTTGCATTCAGCAGAGAAAGCCGCTCACTGAGCGCTATATAATCTTACGGCCCAAACATGGCATTAGAGAAATAATAAACAGTAATAAATAAGTAAGGAACATGATATTAAAGATTATCTATAATAGACAAGTTATTCTACATTACAAATTATAACAAATAAACATATTAATCATAAATTAATCCCTTTTTTGCTTAGGGAGTGCTCAGTAAGTGGTTTTCTCTGCTGAACGCAGCCATTGGCGATCAACGCATAGTACAATAGATCAGAGGACACGATAAAGCTGTCGATCAATTTGTGCTTGCGCGATTTAATTGCTAACGTAGACATTATTAAATCGTAATATTATTACAAAGCGATGTGGACTGCGATTTCAACACTTTTTTTTAGCCTTTCTGGCTAAGCCGTTCTGATTATTACTTATAATATATCCTAAATAGGTAAAAAAATTATATATGATAATGTATATATTAAAGAAAGAAACAATTTTTATTAAAAAATTTTGAATTATTAATTTATACAACTAAATATTTATTTACTTATAAAATAGTATATATAGTATATAAAAACAGTTAACACGTAAATCATAATTTAACTTTGTAGTTTAATTTTATAAGATTACACAATATTTTTCTATATGTTAGTAAAATTTAAGTTACAGGAATCATTAGAATTATATTTAATAAATCTATATTTATTATATTTGTAGTCATGAGTAAAATTACCGATGATACATTTTGTACTTTATTATAGAGCTGTTTGTTTCACCTTTTGGTAAATTTTACCTGTTAGGTAAATCTGGCAATCTGCGTATGTGATTGGTTAATCTTGTTACTTACCCAACAGATAAAATTTACCAAAAACTGGAACAACTGGGCCTTAATGTTTTATAATATAAAATAATGATAAAGTATTTAATAATATAAGTAATACAATATATGAATTATGATAGAGAGCATTAAATAAACACATTGATATATTGTAACACTATGATATGATTTATTTTTAATTATTAACAAATCCACAATGACAAATAGTTATATTTGTATCATTTCACATACTTTATTATCGTGAAATGCATTATGACAAACAGATCATCATAAAAACTCCAACTCTTATATATAGAGGAGAGTTGCCGAATGCATACTGATCGCCTCCCATATCAATATTTTATTACTTAATATAAGCAATATTTAGTAACAAAAATATAAAATAAATAGGAATGAATAATATAAATTAAAATTTAAAAGGTTACGTCTCTTTTATATGTGTTAGCAACACTTTGAAAAATCGGATACATCTAATACTATATAGTTTTTGATTAATTTAGCTAATGTAGCTAATAACAGTGATAATAATGTGCAATTTTATTCTGAATTTTTATATTTTTATAAAATAAGATCGATCTGTTCTAGAATATTTTACGTAAAATATTATATTTAATTTTTGTTGTATATCTATAATATTGTATATATTTGCAATTATTATCACACACAAGATTATAAATTCATATTTTTTATAAATATGTCAGGTTTCCTAAATCGTTCCATAAGATAAAACTGATACTTGACAATAATAAAATTAATATATATTAATATAAATAAAAATGTCAAATTGTAAAAATAAATTTAAACCAGTTTTACTTTTAATTTTTCTTATCTTTTTATTGTTATTAATTAATTATCAAATATTAATCCTTTTTATAAAACTAGATAAATATTGGTAAAACTAGAAAAATAATGATTTTTTATTAATGTTATATTTTTAGTTATTTTTTTTAGTTATTAGAACATTTAGTACTTTCAAAGGAAATATGATTTAAAAGATTTACAGATAATCAGTTATTTAAACTGTACTTTTTGCAGTATGTTACAGAAAGACTTATAAAAAATTAATTTGTTTCTGGTAAAAAGTGAAACATGTAATAAATAGATCTGAAATATCGAACTACAATTTCCAATGTTTATTTGCGTTAAATCAGTATCAAATAGAAAATATAATAAAAACATAGTTTAAGTAGTATGCATTTGTCAATGTTCCCTTAAGTATTGTAGCTTCAAATAAATTTTATGTAAAACGTTGTCTAGCATATTTGTCTAGCATATTTTGCATTTTGAGACAAGAAACTATCGTTACGTGGTGGATATCTGCTGTTGAATCCAAGATAGGTATTTAGCCACGTCGACAAAAACGGTGTACTTCGTGAGATCACATGTTGGTTCATGGCTAAACACTGTCCGTGAAACAACACCACGCAACTGAAAACGGTCTGTGGTATTATCGAAAAGTACTAGCGCGCTCCCGCTGTCACCGTTGCAAGGACCGCTCCCATCTTGCATACCGGCGCAAAAGGTACGATTCGAGGTGAGTTTGACGAAACCCGGGTAACTCCAGTGACAAGTCTCCTATAATTCATGCAACAATGATGAATCTTCATCATTTGCAAAGTTTGTTTTTACAAGGCGTAAAATCCTACTCGACGTTTTCCGGATATGGTTAGCATCTCAGAATTGTGTCGAAGTGTAGTATTACTTTTAGAACGTTTACAAAAATTTGAAGTTATATCTTAACTGCATGATCGGTGATAGCATTATCATTTAGACACAATCACCACATTCGTTACTCTAGGCATGCAATGACTCTGATAAATCCATCGATTAGTTACAGAAATGTGCATATATTATAATGTTATGATAGTAATTAGCTATGTAAATGTATATAACTGTGCAAATGTAGCAAAATTAAATAGAGTTTCGCGCGCCATTGTTAACAATGCAAAAATAAGCATTTTTTATTCGTAATATATCTAAATATCTCGATTTTATTGTCATTTGCCTATTCTCACTTTTTGGATGTTTCGTTTAAAGAATCTCGCTTTCGATCCAATTTGTATGCCAATCAAATAGCAAAATTTACGAAAAATTCTCTTTTAAAAAGGCTCTTAAAGATTCTTACCAAACTGACTATCGGCATTATCGCCATTCGTGGATGATCTGTATAACGATGACCGAATTCGTCTTTGCCCCATCCCACGACGTATCCTCTTCTTCTGACGACGTCGTGAAGATCGGATGAACCGGACCACAGACAAATAGGTTTGATAAAAGGGTTATATTCCACAGGTCTTCTGAGATTTAAAATCGCCAGATCGGAATCGCCGGTGGTGTCATGTACATAATCGGGATGAATCGTGTAACTTGCGACTTCCCGATTCACGGTTCCCACCTCGCGAAATCCGAACAAATTAAATCGCCCCAATGCCACAGCCAACACATTAGGAAGTATAGTTTCGTTGCTTTCAAAGCTCTTCAAGCAATGCCCCGCTAAAAAAAAATATATGCATGAATACCACATTTTTTTAATCCGTACTCTCTGTCGAGAGATACAAAAACTAAAGAGTACACATACACACACACAGGGTGTTCGATAAAAATCGTAACAACGCTTAAGGATAAATTTCCAAGATTATTTTAAGATGAAAATACTAATACCAAAATGCCGAGGCTATAATTGTTTTTTAATTATAAGCATTTAAAGTTAACGAATCATATCGCCTAAAATTGGCGTGTTTAGGTATGGTTGCAGAGAAATTCTTCAGGTATTTGCTTGCACTTTTCTTAATAATAACATAAAGATAAAAAAGAATTTTTACAATACCGTGTATCCAGATACTGTGCACACTAAAGTTAGATTATTTAATGGAAAGTCAAAATACACGATATTGTAAAAACTCTTTATAACATCAAAGTATCTGATGAACAATTAAGCATTCTAAATATTTTTGTGTTTTTCTCGGTTATATTTGGATTAACTGTGAATATCTGTGGAAATCTATAAAATTAAATTTTACTATGAGAATATGAATAAGTACAAATAAATATTCTACAATCCAAGAAAGAAAGCAGAGATTGTGTAAGAAGTTTACCTTGTTGAATGTATGAAGAGTGTTAGTAATACAAATTTTTTTCTTTTATTAATTTACCTGTTAGAACATGTTTATTTGTCAGGATGGTTCCAGCGCATTGAAACTCATAGTGATTTGTAACGACGAAAAGTGCCACTAACCACGGCCATTCGCCAGGCAATGTTTCCTGCCCATTAGAGATCAACAGATTTGCACTTGCAGAGCGGCTGCTGATGCCACATTCATTATTATTGTTAATATTATTATTATTATTGTGTTGCGGAACTGGTTTGGCTAGAGACTGGTTTGATTGAGGTTTAAGTGACTGGTTTGGTTGAGGTCCAGAGGACTGATGTGGCCGCAGGAATATATTATTATTGTGGGAAATACTATATTGTGGAAAATTAGTCAACGATGGCATTAGGAATATATTATTATTATTAAAATTATGTTGTGAGGTTGTTTGAGCTGAAGTCGGTCTCCTCAGATATGTGTTGTCATTATTATATTGTGAAACTTGTCCTGGTTGGTTCGGGAGCTTAGGTAAGAATATGTTGCCATTGTCTTGAGAGAAAGTAACGATGGCTTTCTTTGGAATACTCTGTTGATGCCCCGGTTTTGGTGTCGAGTTCTGATGCGATTCATTCGGTTGTGAATGATACGATTCATTCGGTTGTGAATTTTGCGAAGATATTGGTAGATACAGAGTATGTTCCAATGTGATAGTAGTAACAGTAGTAGTCACATCTCCTGTTGCTGAAACAAAATATGATATTCAAACCTCGCATCTTTTTAGAGTGAGAATCTTCCGATTCATCTCTTCGCTATCTGAATAAATATAAGATAAAATGAGAATTAATTTGTGACTCGCGATTGAATGAATATCTATGAAGTCTACTCCTATTTTATCGAACATACATGGTATTTATATATATTATCTTATTTCAAGAAAATACGATACTCACCATCGGGACCCGTACAATATTTTTTATCATTGAACCATAGCGCGGACAATGTTGGAAGTGGTTGGCGTAAAGGGAAATAAATATGGTACAATAAACTCCTGCCCTGTAGAACAGCTTGAGCAGAATCTTCAGTCGATCGTGCTAATTTTAGTCGACCATAATATTTCTAATTGTAAAACACATTGATGATTAATTTATTTTCTAGAAATGAACTTCTTTTCATACATTTTTTTTACATAATTACATTTTGGTCATTTTTAAATGTATTTTCATTCTTAAATCAAGTAAAACTTGTTTCTTTAAGACAGTACTTGCAGAAATGTTACGATTTCAAGCCAAATTTTGTTTTAGAAATATTTTTGAGAAATAATTGTTAGCCATTGTTGAGTCCACAACATGCTTGAAATTATTAGAAACTGTCTGCATCGACGGTCACAAATTAGATATAAAAAAAAAGATACATACCGTAGGCAACTCAGTAGTGAGTTTTAAACCCACTTTCAAATGGAGTTTGCTAACTTTTGGCGGAGACTGGATTTCAATCTGTCCTATCATTTCGTCTGTTCCTGGTTTGATTATATATCTGAAATATTGAGGACACGGAGATTGCTGTCCTTGTACTAGTGTAAAAAGCAGCTGAGGCAATAATGCGATCAAGATATACATCTTAGCCATCTCGTGAGGATCTGTTAACAAACTTAATAAAATACATAGTTTATAAATGTAATTCACTTTTAATATTCTTTAATATTTTATTTGATGATTTAATGATTTTCAAACAGCTGTTATCATAGCTACACGGATTTTTTCTATAAAAAAATTTTTTTAACATCTCAAAAAGTATTTAAATCAGTAATTTTATTTCAAAGAAAATTTAGAAATACGAAAAGTTAATTATGCACAAATGCGATTATATTTACATAATATTAATATCCATACATCTATTCGTCGTATATTAAGTTTTAATATGTCGATAAGATTAAAGAATAAAATTTCAATACATAATGTGAAATGATTTATTACTATTTATCACAAGCGAACCAGGAAAGTTGATAGAACAAGCATATAAACGTCATGAATGCGATAAACTTAGCATCCAAACATAACGTAATACTATGTGTCCATTAACCCGAGAATCTGGTTTTACACACTAACAGGAAGAAAATAAAGCTAATTGTTAATCATAGTTTTCTTTATCGAGTGTATTTCCACTTATTTTCTATTTTCTCATTTTTTTTAGAAAATATCAAATAAATCTATATAATGATTTTAAATTTTATAATAAATTGTAGAACAATTAATAATGTAAATACAGGATATAATTATAGTAAAAGTAATTTTTTATTAAGATGTGAAAAACATCCCACGTGATAATTTACGTAAAAAAATTAATGACTGTTCTCAGATTAGCAAAGGTACTTAAACAGGATATTCCAATCATATACGAATAGTCTCCTGTTGAAACTGAAAATTTTCTTTCATTCAAAATTTTATTAATATTTTTATATTTTTTCATAATTTTTTAATTTCTGTAATATTAAATAATTAATTAAATAATTTAATTTAGAACGCTGTTGATTATAACCTAATTTTTAATTGATTATACTCTAGTTTTTGTATTTTCGAATCTATTTAAAGTATTTTTTTAATTGTGCGATTTTTAAATTCTTTAATGCAACATTATTTTGCTTTATACAATATAGTAATTTCATTAATACAAATAAAGGCGTCCTGTTTTACCACGATTACATTTTAAGAGATATCTTCGAATTAGTTTCACGGATTGAAAAATTTTTTATACAGAATTAAAGAACGCATAAAAAGAAAGTCCGGAAACTACGATTTCACGAAAAAATCGGAAAAAAATTCACTTTTTCGGGTACGTAAAACTGTTACTTGAGATTAATATTTGCTTGATATAAAAGTTTTACAACTTGTAGAAAATAAGTATCTAGCGGGATTCAATTTACTTGAATAAACACTACTGAGTTTGTAGAATTAAGATTCAATAAACGTAGAAAAAAATATTTCTCCTAAAACGAAATTACGTGGTTTGCAAGGATTTACTTTTTTCCTCTTTTACAGATTCGAAAATCCTTTTCCAGGATTAAAGTATAAGCATTAATACGTGTTTGTGAGGTGGAGTTTATGCCGAGAGAGAACAACCAAAAATTTCGAAATTGATATATTTTTTACCATTTCTTAGTGTAACACGGCGTCTCAAGCTGTCAAGTCGTGACAACATTTGCTTGATACGAAAGTTTTGTAACCTGTACTTACGAAATAATGATCCACAAACACGTAGTTTGCACGAACAAATAACGTCGAGTTCTTAGAATTACACTTAAACGCTTTATCGCGACGAATTTGTTATACAAAAATTGACATGAATGTGCATGTATCATAGGTTGCGTGAGATATTGGTTTGGTAATATATAAAGACATGTCGGTGCGTTGAAAAAACAGCGATATCTAGATTTCGGAGTTCGAGCTTCGCTTTAGGATTCTCTTAATAATACAGATTAAATTGGATTAAAGAGAGCGAGAAGAGAATTGATATGTGCACTAAACGTATTACTGAACTGTATTTACTCTCTGTTTGATAACCCTTGAAAGATCAAACATTTCATATATCCCAATACACGTCATAAGGTCAACGAAGCCAATAATTTTGCTTTTATAACTTTACTTGCCTTTCAATTGGTATAAACATTTCTATTTAACAACGATTACGGATATTTCAGATCAATCTACATTTAAAAGATTAATTATATAGTCTAAATACAATTAATTTTTTTACAAGAATTGAACAATTAAAGTTCAATAATCTTGTTAAACAATCAGCTTCAAACAAAAAGAAGTCTTAACAATAAACAAGAATAGCAAAGATTCCAAAAATAAATCGAAATTGAATGAAAAAGAAATAAGCCGACGTGGATATGCAGTAATAACAATTAATATATAATTAGTCTACTACTCGTAATAAGTTACATAAAACGCATAGGTTTCAACTGCAATTTTGGATCCTCTTCAATGCATATTACACATAAATCATATATAATATAATACATATATTTGAAGGGTAGAAAACTTAGTAAGTTAAATAAAACTATAATAACAGTGTTATAATAAAGTATCAAAATACCAAACAATAGTAACAAAATAAATAAAGCCGGAATTACATGCCTATGTCAAATGAATAATAGTTTAAGTATATGAGTAATAGACTAATATTGTTATTATTGTGCATCGACATCCGTGTTGTCTCTTATTGGCTTATCTTTCCTTCATCTTTTTTTAAAAAAACATCTTTTAACACGAAACTATTTAATAAAAAAAATTTATTATTCAGATTATATTGAGAGATACGAAATAATGAATACTTAAATTTCATATTATAGTAAACAAAAAGTTGAAATGTTACTGATGAAGATGTAGCATATAGACTCAATAGCAGATATATTATATGATATATGTATCCAATCAAAGAGAGATGATAAAAATATAATAATTTTAATCACAACTCACTTTTTCAATAATTTGTTTCTACTGAAGAACACCCTTGACTTCGTCAAAAAGATACAGTAAACGTATCTATGGATAATAAACTGGATAATAATTTAATTACGCGCGCGTTTAAAAGATTGTTTTATTTAAATATGTTTAATTTACATTTTAGTCACGTTTCTAGACAATTACACTTATAAGGAAAACGATTCCAGAAGGCGAGTAAATCATCCAAGCGAATCAAAGTATCTCGAGCATTCTATGAGCATATATTTAGCTTGCACTTTGAACAGTCGTTAAACCGACAGTACTGGATCACGTATACTCACTTCATTAAACGGATTTCAAATTCTGACAGAGAATAAATGTGACTCACGTGTGTACAACTGGATGTCTACCTTCACTTTACTCCGATTTGTTATATTTCTTTAATGACAATATCAATTATTTTTTGTGTTTTTATTAAATCACTATACTGCATTTTTTCTATTGACCTCTAGAATATGTCTTAAGCGCGTTGAGTTATACTTTTTTAGTATCTTCTAGTTCACATATTCCTATTTACTTTTGATATTTATTTCCGAGGCACTCTTTCAAGGCGAACTTCTGGTGAACCACTCTGAAGCGCTTCTCAATGGTTCAAAATCCTTAGCAGAATGCAACGTTGCAATGACCGGATGTTTAATGTGCTAATCCTTGAAGCTACGCTCTCACGGCGCTAAATCTTCGCGAGACTGACCAGTTCTTTACCGAAACATACGTTTACAATTTCCTCGCCGAAGAAGCGTTCTGATGGCGCAGTAGTGGGACACCGCGAGTCGAAGTGATTATGAGTCATGTCATATCATTCAACTTGTCTGAGACAGAACATCTCAAGTGAGTTACAAAAACGTAAGGCCGTAACACGTAAGCAGTAAGGAAATCGTAAGATTGGATTCGCTACTGGCCTTATGATCTCTATCGTGATTGGCCAATTCGCTTACTGATTACGTCTTACGGCCTTATGTTTTTGTATGTGCCATGGGCTTTAGGCTGATGAACGCAACGAGGAAAATAGAAGACAAGTGTAGTGTGCATGGAGCATCCTCTCTTCCTGGACGATATCGCGCAAGAGGGAAGACTGGGGAATCCTCGGACGCACGTCCGATGAGTCACAGCTTCGTGTTGCCTTGCTATCAGCGCAACTATGATCAAAGCGAAACCGAAGACCTATTATTAGTGCATTTAATCGATGACGCGAGTATCCTTTCAATTATGCAAGCGCGTGTTCGAAAAATCACGCAATAATTCTTCTTTATTTTTCTTCATTTTCTCCTGTTTCTTCTTATTTAGTAACTTACTCTTCTCTTATACCTGCATTTGCAATCAATCAAAGGATTAAAATCTTTAATCATATTCCTTTCAAATTAGATGTGTCAGAGACGTCAGAGTCAACAAAGTAAGGTTCTATTCAGTATTTCCTTTAAAGATTTTACTACATCCTCGATTTTTTGTTTGTACGCGTTTATTGCCTTTGAAAAGATTAGCGAAAAAAGAGGTGCAGTGATCATTACAAAAATATCTTTTATCGTGCGATAAAAATATAAAAATAGGAAAGAATAAATTATCAAAATTCAACTTATGTATGTACACACTCATTAGGATATACGACAATATGCAGAATACTTTATTCACATTGGATTAACTTTTAATAGAAGATTTTTAATAAATTTGAAATTGATTTTTGTTTAACGAATTTGTTCAAAACAAATTACTATTTTTTACTTTTCCCAGAAAATTTCTATATAAAATTTAATGTCTTAATTATTAGAGAGAGACATCAATTTCAAAACTTAATTAGCTCCACTTTAAATGTAATATCAAAAAAATAAAGCGAGAATAAATTGTTAATCCTTTAAATTCTTCTTCACTATTTCCGGTTGCAAAAGTAGAAATAGATAAGCTCGTGGTTATACTTCCGGCACGGACGGAAAGGAAGGCAATGCAAGTTGGATTATCAAGGAAAAAAATTTATATCTTGTAATTAAATTATTTTTCATTACGTTTCGACAAAAACATATACAGGGTGATCCGAAATTCCCGCATTCGGAATACAAGACATGATACTTTACTCTAAAACAAACAACTAAACTATAAAACGAATCATGAAATTCGATTGTTGTTCGTTGTCGGGGTCGGAGGTGTTTTCGAGTCGCTCTCAGTTGTCTCTTCTCCGATGTGCCCGTCTTGAATTTTCTTTTCGTTGAGCCTCTGGAACTGCTCGAGGTTGTGTCTGAGTGACTATTTTGACTTTTTCTTGCGTTGAATATTCAGTGAGTGCTGTGACTGTGAACTGCATGGTGGTGAAACTAACTTTTTGAATGCATGTGCCTGGTAACCAGGACTGACATGTATTTGAAATACTTTTGTTTGAAAAACAGTATTAGTGAGACAATTATATTTTGTATTTTGTGTTTATTAGGAATACACGAAAATATTTTGCATTTTGTGTTTTATGGGAGCATATAAAAATATTTTGTATTTTGTATTTCAGTATTAATAATAAAAGATTGAAAGTATTTTATATTTTGTATTTCATACTATATACTAACACACATTGACAATCAATCTTATTATTTGAATTACAAAATACAAAAAGCTTTCAATCTTTCGATTTTAAATACAAAATATGTAATCTTTTTATCTTTCTTTTATTACGTGGAAGTTTCCAGAACTCAACAGTCGTTCGCGCCTTCATTATTGATGTTTTGCTCATCTATATGACTTGTTTATCTTATCTGCCAAAATATATGCTGCTTTTATGTGATCTGCTGAAATAAAAAATACAAAATACGTTTGTACTACAAATAGTATCTTTTGTATTTTGTATTTCAGTATTAATAATAAAAGATTGAAAGTATTTTATATTTTGTATTTCATACTATATACTAACACACATTGACAATCAATCTTATTATTTGAATTACAAAATACAAAAAGCTTTCAATCTTTCGATTTTAAATACAAAATATGTAATCTTTTTATCTTTCTTTTATTACGTGGAAGTTTCCAGAACTCAACAGTCGTTCGCGCCTTCATTATTGATGTTTTGCTCATCTATATGACTTGTTTATCTTATCTGCCAAAATATATGCTGCTTTTATGTGATCTGCTGAAATAAAAAATACAAAATACGTTTGTACTACAAATAGTATCTTTTAAATAAAAGTATTTCAAATACATGCCCAGCCCTGCTGGTAATTCCGACTATGGGGAAAGCCTTTTCTTTACTTTGTTCCTCGTACTTACGCGTATTGTAATTCGTGAACTGTCGTTTCGTGCTTGCGCGTATTGTGCTTTCGTGAACTGACTGATGAGCTGTGACTGCATCGGACTAATTTGGTGAACTTTTTATCTTTCTTTTATTACGTGGAAGTTTCCAGAACTCAACAGTCGTTCACGCCTTCATTATTGATGTTTTGCTCACCTGTATGACTTGTTTATCTTATCTGCCAAAATACATGCTGCTTTTATAAAAATCACATACTTACGGGTATTCTATATATTTATTTACTTATCTCTTGTTAACTATTTCTTTTAAGATATAGGATTGCCCTGTGCTTCATGTAAACGTTATATGCCGGCCTCACGTACCTGCATCTTCTACGGAATTGACAACAACTTACCTTTAGATACGACTTCAAATATTAAAGCTACCATATCCAAGTCGCGCATAGTGGGACATGATACTCTTACTGAGGAGGACTGTACCTACAGTACAGTCCTCCTCAGCTATACAACAATGTGATAGTGCTAATCGCGCCGTCTGTTTCTGACGTCTCTCTATCTGAACTCAATGATACCTTGGCTGTCATATCTGCCAATATAGTCATGATTGCCACATCTCTCCGCACTTTTACCGCATTTCTTCTGTACTCCTCCTGTACTTCTTTCTGCATCATCTCTCTCTCTTCCTCTCTCTCTCTCTCCCCCTCTCTCTCCCCCTCTCTCCCCACATATGCGACTTGGTGAGCATATAATTTTCATATGACAGGTAGACATTAAAAATGGACAGCAATGCTGACCTGTGCTAACGTGTCCATCGGCGATCATAGCTGACCGTTATCGATCGGTAATTATAATTTCAATTATAATCAAATTAATTGAGTTAGTTATCACTATGAACAATGAATATGCCGAGGTACCGATCGAGATATTTTTATTCTGGAAAGTCAGATGGAAATCTATGAAATTTTGTTCGTATTTTTCATATACATTCTAATAAGTTTTACAATTCCCTAAAAAACGTAAGAATCTTATAGACTTGGCTTCTTACATTGCCGATGAAATGTCATTATTTAAATATCATATTGGTAATAATTTATTTTGTACAGTAACTTTACGATAAATTTCTAGGTATTTCTACTCTGTAAGATCAGATAGAAATCTTTGAAATACCTCTCACGCTTCTCGTATATGTTCAGATGGGATTTTTAAATTGTTAAAAAATGATCAAATTTTATAGAGTTTCTTTTATATATTACCGATGGAAACTCAATTGACTAAATTGTAAATCGAGAACGATCCATTTTATATGATAAATTTATGAAAAATTCCTATAGATATGTCCATTTTGAAAAATCAGATGGAAATCTGTGAAAGAACCCCGCTCAAATCTTATGGAAATTGGGTTTCGGTGGATTTGTCTGAAATTTTGATATGTTGTAGCTTTCGGCATCCTGAACAAACGTCTCCATAGGCACAAGCCCCGGGAATCAATCCTTCGCCCGCTATGAGTCGGCGAAGTAAAGGTAAATAGGTAGGCCTAACCGCAATATCGGGCTATATATCACGTGTGTGAAGTTGGCCCCGCACTTTTCGAATTTTGGATTTTTTTTTATTGTGCTGTGTTGTGCTACGTTTGTGCCACGTTGTGCCGCAAACCGCAACTCAATAACATGAACCGTTTTCCAAAAAAAAATTCCATGCTGGCCTTAGGAATTTTTAGGATCGCGAAACTGAAAACCCCTGTATCTCGCGAACGGTGCAAGATAATCGAATTCTGCGAGTTGTGCCGAGTCGTGTTACTCAAAATCTATGCGAAACGTTCATAAAAGGTCCGGAATGGCAGAAGGGACGACGGAAATGGTTAAAAACGTGGTGGGGGGAAACAAAAAATTTGATATTTTTGAATTTTTTTCAGTTGTGCCGAATTGTGCTACGACAGTACAATAACTTTTCCTCATGGCAAAATTTCCTGAGATCAACGGATCTCGCGGTATCGACGAAGTTATGCGTCAGCCGTTAGGAATTTTTAGGATCGCGAAACTGAAAACCCCTGTATCTCGCGAACGGTGCAAGATAATCGAATTCTGCGAGTTGTGCCGAGTTGTGCTACTCAAAATCTATGCCCGCCTCACTCCCGCCTCATCCACCCCCACCCACCTCCACTCTCACCCTACGTTGTATATCGAATGTAGCTAAGACAGCAATCTTTCGCGAACTCGAAGAAGTCGACTGGTCTCACATTTATGATGCGCCCAGCCCAAATGACAAATTAAATAATTTTCTAACTACTGTCACGACCATCGTTAATCGTCATGCTCCAATTATCATTAAACGCAAAACTCGTCCGCCCGCATTATGGCTCACCTCAACGATTCGCAGGCTCATTGAAATAAAAAATCATTTGTAAAAAATCAAGCGTATCAGGTAATTTTTCAATTGCTGTTCTTTCCAAATCCTGCATAACTATATCCGCAGCAATTGGAGATA